GTTAACACCACTTCCTAGTTTTATCTGGTTGATGACATAGGTTCAACGAAAAGCAGCACGAAAGCACGTGCACGAAAATCTGTTTTTCTGCTAGTCACTCGTACTACTGCAGCGTATACACATGCATGAAATGGTTTCAAAGAGTCGCTTAGTAGTCCGTCTCTGTTGGAGTCGTTTTTATGCTTGCGTATATGATAACCCTTGGATGCTGAAGATCAATGAGCAGCGCATTAAGTGCTGCCTTATTTCTTTGAGTGTTTTGCGATGTGACGTTTGTGCGGGCGCAAAGGCCCAAGCCTTGTTTTCACGATTTTATGAAGGACCTATACAACGATCCCTTGCAAGTCCGAATCCGTATCCTTCTTTTGGAGTTTCTAGCAACCCGTCATAAACAAAACTTTATTTTATATTGACCAATGCTTCACCTTCGCACTGGCTCCTTTATCTATAAGCCTTCCTCTTGCATGATTTTGACTCTAAACCCACCGTGTAATGCTGACCGGCATGAACGAATCGTAACAACTGCTCATCCTATGAGCTTTTCCATGTAGGAGCGGTAACTTCGGGGTAAGAAAGTCTTTGTGTAGAAAATTGAAAGAGAATTTTGTCAGTTGATGAAGTCATATGGGTCTGGTTTCCTGCAAGAAGTCACTTCCACCACCTATATTTCTGAGAAACCTCAACAAATAATTGAGTAACTTGACAAAACGGCGATTTACGCAATTATCCTTTTTGACGCTGATTTTGCGTGAAAATCGATATTTTGCTTACTTTGGGCTTGAGTCCACGGTATGCGCATTTACTTGTTAAGCAGCTACAACTCCGCAAAAAGTACAATCGCGGGCGCACTTTGGTGGGCCAAACGTCGCGTGGACACGTTTGACGCGCAGTTTTGAAAGGTTCCAGCGTTGGATCTACTTGTGCTTTTGCACAGTCTACCTACATGCTGGCAGAGTGCTATGATCAAAATCTCAGCTCAAGCCTTCACTACAACTCGCTCTATGAATTTCGTGACAGACAGACATAAACACACACAGACACGGACAGACATACGTTTAGCGCTTTATTATAAGTCATGATACTAGTCGGCATCCCCGGTTCAGCCCAGAGCTGATTCAAATTGGTCGGCAAAGCCGCTAGTAATATATCCAGCCCGATATCATTGTCCCCTTTCAATGACTTACTCTCTCTTTCTTGGCTGCCTTACTTCATGCTCGCTGCCCCTACTCTTCTTTTCTGCTCTTGTTCCATCCTGCAGCAGCGTTCCCGTGTTGAAATTGTCTTCCTTCCACCGCCTGATTTCGAGACAACGCGTCTTCCTCACAGCGAAATATTGATCTTTAGCGCCCCCTCCTACTTGACTTGGGAGAATGATCTGATAAGCTTTCATTTTCCTAGGTTCAAGTAAACATACCACTAAATCGGTAGAAAGGCCGAGTAAATCGGCGCGAACAGCAGCTCATAACCAGCGCTGTGGCTTGTTCATAAGGGAGAGATTTTCAGCCTCAAAGGTCCACCTAGAAAATTTTGTATTCTGCACAAAGATTCACACTTATTTACACACTTTGACTTTTATATATACAGATTTCTGATATTTGCTTCTTTTTAGTTTGAATGTTTTATCATTCAAAATGATTACAGGCAGTAGAACAA